ATTCAGTGGCGACAGATTTCTTGCTTAAAATAGGAGTTAGCTTTACACATTGCAGTCTCCGACCCCATTGCTTAGAATCTACTTCTAAAGATAAACTCTGAAACTGCGATAATGTGCTGCTCTTGTCGGATTAAAGATCAAGTGACATTTTATTTGATAAATACCATCTCCAGCTTAGTGTAGACGAATCCATAATCGTGCCACCATATACTGAATTTGCCGATGTGTTCTAGTAAAAAATCATGATCACTCATCAAGGGTACCTGCTACAATTCCACAGAATCTTGTTTCGTATCTAGACATGAACACTAAGTACCCAAGTTCATTTATTGATAGTTCCTGTGCAAATTCCACGAATATTGCGTGAGCATTTATTTGCTGTTAACTACGATCTGATCATTAGTTCGTTAGTTGCAGCTGGGTAATCAGGTAAACTGAATTTGATTTGTCTCATTTGCAATAAAATATAATGATTATTGTAATCTTCCCTAGATTCCGTGAGCCAAATATACTCACATGATTTCCCAACTGTTTGATGTCGACGATCTGTTATCTTTGGGCCCGGTCATAACTATCACACATTATGTAACACTGTCCATACTTTGTACGCACATAGCGTACACACTGCCTGTTTATATGTTTGCCAGGTTTCCCTCATTATTCATATGACAGTGCTGCCATCTTCATTGTTGTTTTTGTTAAGAATGTTGCATACTACTGTAAAATGAGCCTAAGTTCCGCTGATTTACCATTTCAGGCATATCAGTGGATTTTAAATTCACGGTTTTATCATTTAGATAATGTGTTCTATGCTCAATTTTACATATTCACTGGGTTTTAATTTAGCGCATTTCAAGTCAGCGAAATAAGCAAAATTAAAACCCACTGAATAATTAATCCTTTTACAGTATTTTTCACGGATTTCGCCTGTTGTGCTTTGAAGGACTGTAACTCGTGATATATTTTTCTCTCTGTACAATAGTTTACAACTGGGAGAAGAGAATTGGTTGATTGACGTGTAGCGTCTGCTTATCAACTTTCATTCCTGGATTTAGATGATCTGTGGCCTGACATGTAGGCATAGTAACGCCCTCACCGGCCGAACGGCATCAGACCTCACCAACGCCTGAATAGTGTATGTCTCGTCGGCTAGATTAATACTGCGAATTCGCAAAGTTCACGCCTTCTTGCAACGAGTTTCAATGAATATTCATTTTGGTGGCCATGGTTACACTCTCAATCATGGAATTAAAGTACTTGATAAGCAAATACCACTTAAAACTTGAGAGCGAATTAGATAACGGAAGTAAACAACGTGTGTTTGCAGGTGATGACGACACGCGACTGCAGCGAGAAGAGTCACCTTACTGAAAAAACATGTCGTTTTTGCAGTCGACGAGCAGCACAACTACGCCCGTGAAAACAGTATTGGAACTCGCGATCAATCAGACATCATGTGCTGTTTGTTGGGCTTGGAGCACCGCGGAGGGCGCAACTCACGCGACTCGTAAGGCTGGATGGTCTGATGGTCGCAAAGTTCATATTTGTGTTGTCACAATCCACAACATTAGACTGGATGACAACAAAATGTAGTCTTTGTTCGTTTTTGTTTTTTGTGTTGATGAAACCATTCTGGATGAAATTGAACGTCTGAATTACACTTGGTTTAGAGTGGAAATAATCAATTTGTTAACTAATACAACCTCTTTCTAGAAATGTTCTCTGCAAGCTCTTGAAACAACCTTTCCTGAAACCATGTTTATAAGTGCATTCACGGTTACTAAAAAGTAACCGTGGTGCATTAGAACCATATGTACTTTCTAGTGTATTTTTTTCAATTCTGAGCTCTGCATGGTTGAACTACCCATGAATTCATCATTGTGTGGAAACAGGAATATTCATAGATTTTTCGTTATTAATCGAATTTGAAAATAAATGAAGTAAGAGTGAAGAAAGCACATAGAAATCACCGAGCACATGCAAACCTTCCAAGTAGATAACAATGCGCAAGATAGAGTATAATTCTGTCAAGATACAACACACTTTTACTCATTCGGTAACTTTTATTGGTTCCTCCCTGGCTGTCTAAAGGCCGTTTCCCAGTCAGCTTGGAAAATCAATACATAACTGACTATTTGTCATTGTGCACACCTGTCTACAAACTAGACGTTTGCCTCTCATGAGAGTGTGTTGTAGGTGTTTGTACTTATTTGTCAACTCTGGCTGATTTCCCAGTATGCATGTATTCGTTGTAATTGCACAATGCAATTCACACTATGTGCTGATACATTCAGATAAATAGCTCTGTAGTTCTACTAACCGCCTAAGCGTTTCACTATATAAAAAACTGAGAGGCCCGACCCACCAGTGTCACACCTCGAAGGGGGCGGGACAAGGTTTGGTCCTAGACTTGCTTGCAGTCTGTTGCGATTCCGATGAAAAAATCTTCAAATATAATTATAAATTGCGTAAACGAGGTGTGAACGCAAAAGTCCTCGTAACCTGGATTTTTCTAATTAGATATTATTTTAAAACCTGTGTTCCTTTACGTTACTTTTTAATTTAAAACGGTTTTATTTTGTATTTGTTTCTATGACTAATTTCAAAATCCATATTTTTGAAATAAAATTCGATTCTAGTTTTAAAAATGTATTTTTCTGAATCCGAATTCACAAGCGAATTTAAATGTAATAACATCAATTTTGTGTTCATGAAAATCTACCTTGGACATCCATTCGCCGGCCTTTTGTATACAGCGCAATAGGTGTCAGAAAAGCAACGCAATCCATATTTAAATACTGTATAGCCTTATATGATATAGCAACAATATTTTATTTTAAATAATTGATTTAAGCACGTCTATGACGCAATTGCGATGAGCCGACTCGCTCACTCGTGATAGCGTACGAATTAATTCTTAATTACATCTAGTTTGTTTGAATTTCCACAGATTTAAATTTTAGTTTTATTACGTATTTGTCCTGATTGAC